TCCTAGTAAGTGGAAGTAGTTGTGCTTTTTTCAACCCAATTGAAATTAAATCAAATTCGTTGATAATGCCAATACTTCAATGAAACAAATCGCATCGGTAATGAAGTTCTGAACTTAATCTTTTCAGTTTATGATCTTTCTTCGTGATACCTATCTTCCAACAGAGAGAAAGAAAAAAAGTTCCTTACGAGTTTAGTGACCCAAAGAAAAACAATGCAAGGTCAAGAAAAAGAGAATAAGTAAGAAAACATGAAAGAAGAAGCATTATGAAATTCTTACAAAAGTGTTTTGTAGGTTCTTTTTACTATTTTATTTTATTTACTTTTCGGACATGCAATTAATTAAGTTGTCTAATACCTTAAAATAACATGTCTGAAAACGTTCTGTATTGTTCTACAAGTTTTCTTGTCCTTAGACTTCAATGTTTCTGCTCTGTTTAATAAATTGCAAAGAAATGTTCTTTAAACATTGTTGGCCGTCCTGTTTGTCTTAACCTAAAATATAGAAAAGCTATTTAAAAGTGAGAATACTTTGAAAACATTTTAACATAGAATTCTCAACGAAATTTTGAATTCGTACTTCAAATTCTGTATTTCAAAATAGGTGTAAAATTAAATTAAGTTACCAGCGAGTCCTGGGGAAACTAAATATATTCGAAAAGGGAAATAAGATTAAAAAGTAGCTAAAATTTTTTTACAAAACTTACAACTAATGCAGAAAAACTAATTCGTATTTAAGAGAGTGTTTTACAATATATTTTCTATTTTATTTGAAAAAAAAATTAAATTAAAAATGATTTTGAAAATACATTATTCTTACAATCTTTTGCTTTAATATTCTTGTTTTTTCTCACATTTTAAAATATTTAAAAAAAAAAAAATGACACGGTCAATAGAGAGCCAATTTTTCTATTTTTTTAATAGATAATTTGAAAGATAAATTATTAATATTACAGGCGGAATCGTTAAAAACTTCTGCTATCGAGTTTAAAGATATATTTTATAAAAGGACCTAAATCTAAAGCTTAAATTGATCCAAGGTATATTTTATTGTCTATTTAATATAAATAATATCTGGTAATCTAATTCACTAACAAACTAACCAAATTTGGCGAAAAATGTGGAATAACAATTTTGGGTTAAAGGAATGATTGCATCTCACTTTTGACCTGAATCAGATAAATGATAAAATGCGATATCAGCTCCAGCTATGCACTCAATTTGTGCGTTTTGGGATAAATTATAAGAAGAAGAAAAAAAAAGCCTAAAATTATTTTTCGATATACACGGCGCACAAGCAAGTCTGTATCCCCACCCTCTTAACTTTCGAACGTGAATGGTATCTAGTTTCAGTAAAATGGCTTTGCTCCACAAGATGTGCCATCTAATAAAATAAAACTGAATAAGCCGTTTCGATAAGGTCGCGAAATAGGGAAAAAATAGAATAACCAAGTTGTATGAAATCAATGATTTAGTACGGATTAAGAACAATTAGAACGCGCGTTTCTTTGTTTTCCATGACAATTTTCGGTTAACACCATAAAAAAGGATGGCTACATAACATTTTCTACTTTCCAAAATTATGTTTTATAGAAAGGGTAATTTTGAGGTGATCTATGCTCCCGACTTTGCTCGTAAAATTGTTGTCACTAAATAATTTTTTTAATTAAAAGTTTTACAAATATTTATGGATTTTTATGAGTACTTTCGTAAAACAAGATACATTCTCTAGAAAATTGTTCCAAATCCCCAAAGAAAAAAGTTCAGCGGCGTTATATCAGGTGATCTGGGTGGCCAAGGAATTGGACCTCCTCGCCCAATCCATCTTCCTGGAAAATGGTCATTCAAAGAACTACGAACGATGATATCCCAATGAAGTGGTGCACCATCTTGTTGCAAAAAGACATGTGGCTGAAGCTCTTCTTGTTGTGGAAATACGAAGTTTTCCAACATGTCTACGTATACGACTGATGAGACCGTCTTTTCTGTAAAAAAGAAAGGCCCAATGACTCGGTCGTGCATTAGTCCACACCACACATTAACCTTTGGGGAATCCCTTTGTGTCTCACGGTATTCATGGGGGTTTTCAGATCTCCATACGCCGCTGGATTTTTTTCTTTGGGGATTTATAAAGGACAATGTTTACAGGAGGATCGTGTCGAACATTGATGACCCAAAAGTCAGAATTACAACCGTAATAGCTTCTGTGGATGCCGACATGCTTGCCGCTACCTGGCGTGAAATTGACTATCGACTTGATATTCTCCGTGCGACGATGGGGGCACACGTGGAAGTTCATTGACAAGGGTCATGAAATTCAATTAGTCTATCTAACCATTTATGTTATTAATTTTAATCTATCTTTATTATTTTATGAGTTATCAAACATTAAAATGGGTCCGGGACTTTATAAACACCCTGTCTAATGAGCCATAAGCTCACCTATCGCAGAACTCGAATGTAATTCACATACCTATGAAAATGGTTACTATTTTCTTTTTAGATACTTAACACTAACTGCACATAAGGCCGCGATGTCTTAGTGGGTGAAACACTGAACTGTCCTTGTGAAGGACAGGGGTTCGATCCCAGTTACGGCTTAAAGCGCATGCAATTTCAGATCGATGTCTACTAGCTTGTCTGAGAGTAAAGCGGCCTGTGCGCAATGTCGACCACATTACCATTTGCTTTAAAAATTGTCGAGTTCTAAATTCCCCGATTCCACTGACCACAACGGGCTGCTGCTGGAATGTTTCACTTTTTTATTGTACACACATTCTTTTTTGACAGCAGCTTAATTACAATTAAAGAACTTAAACGAAGAAAGAGTTTTGTTACTGATGTTTATATTTTCATCCGTTAGAAGAAAACATAAATAACGAAACAAAAAAATTCATACAATTATAATATGATTGCGGTGCCTTTAGGCAATTTTAAATCATGCAAGGGTGCCATAACTTAGAAAAAGTTTGGAAACCGCTGATCTATCCTATAAATACAGCACCGAGTTTTCGAATTCATATTTTTTAATTTATAAAAGGAGAACTGTAACTTATTATGTAGATGTACGGCTATATATATTTTATTGGATCATTATTTTTTGCATTTTATAGACTTCTTATTAGTTCAATAATAATCAGAAACAAAGAAAACAATTTGTCTTTACCACGTAACAAAGTGAAATAGTCTTTCACACCAGCAAACGCAGACGATAAGGAAAAGTTAGTTAAATAAAATAAAAGATTCAAACCCGGAAAGTCGAGCGAACTTCGACGGTGAGCGCGATCCATCAGTTTAGTTGGAACAATAGACACATGATACAAGGAAAAGTCGAGAAATTATGAAAAATTATTAAGGAAAGTAACAGTATTTGGTCGCTAAGTTTTGATTTATTTATAGGTAAACAATTATGATCAAAATGTCAAAAAGTAATCAAGCGAATCAAAACTTTATGGATGTTATTTTATCTCATTTTTCCTACGATACATTTTTCACTATAATTTGCTATGTGTTTTATCAAATTGTATAGATTTCAACTTTTGATTTAAAAAAAACGGAATAAAACAAAAATTTCACGAAACTATGCTTTTCGAATATACTGAATAAGAGAAATAACAAACAATTTTTTGACCGATAAAAAACGCAGGACACATCAGTTTCGAAAGAAAGAATAGAGGGAAAGACGATATAATAGCTCTAGATTTTATTGAAATTTTTTTTTTCTCTTTTTAAAAAAACGCAGTTTTTAAAATAGTAATTTATTTTCTTTTTTAGTTTTGTGTGTGCCAGTTCCTGTACGTTGAAAGGTAGAAGAAATTTTAATTGAGGATAAATTCTATTCGGTGATAAAATGGCGATATAAATCCTGCTTAATAGCGGGGAAGGAAAGAATATAACCTTGTATTGTCCTCATATGCAGAGTACTTGTGATTTCAGCACTCTATTAAAGTGCTCAAATCAGTTTTCTAGATTTATTGACTATCTAGAATCTAGTTAGTTGGAAAATGGTTGAAATTCTTAACTGACGATAAATACTGATTATAGCAGTCAGAAACGAGTAAGACTAGCATCATTATCAGGCGCGGTGATCCAATATAGGTTTAGTTGGCCGAAAATCGGTTTGAAATTTTGATAGCAAGATTCCCAATATGACAAACACGAAAACAAAAGGCAGTAAAAATGTGTAGGCGATGTAAATAAAATTGAAATTTTTTAAATTTATATACATATAAGGCAATGACTATAACATATGTTATATACAACAGCGTATATAATTATAGAAGAAATTTTTGTATTAATAATGGGAAAATCAAAATCACTCAATTTTGAAAGTCCCCCCACCCCCGAGATAATTTTTGTAATAAATAAATATCTTGTATATGTCCTTGTTGAGAATTATAACCTTATCGTATTAATATATTTTGATGGGTATAAAAAAGTAAACATAATTTAGTCATCAGCTGTAAAATTTAAATTTTAGAAAACTCATGTTCGGAAAATTTTGCACAAGTGTCACGTAATCTTTTTGCAGCCGTGTTCCTAGCTTCTTATAAATCTAAATTCTGATATTTTTATTTCGCTTTCATTCGGTTTCGCGAGTGTGAGAGTGAAATCTAGCAGTCGAAATTTTGACTTCTTTCTGATTGGCTAGAGCACTGACAACTCCGCTGGAGCCGAATGGAAATGTAAATTGTAATCATTTCCATACCTCAACAAGCAAAATGTATCACGATATTATCGCTATCATCAATCAAAATTTAGATCACATTCCAACAAGTTAGAGTACTCAAATCTCAACTGGAGCTCTGTGCCTGATGGTAATGCAATGTTCAGTTATATCTTGACAGCTTAAAGTAAAATATATCGTCAATTCAAATTTCGACCACTTTTTAAATAACTTATAAGTTAAAAATCAATTTTTTAAAAAAAAACTGCAACTTGGTGATTGTCAGTATAAAAATAAATGTATTGTGAAAGATAAATTAATAGAAAACACAATAGTCACACAAACATACTTTTTATTAGAGAAACACATATTTCAATTTTAGCTGTTTCAGAATTGTGCAAGCATACACTTTACATGTAGTTTAGATAACTCAAATAGTTAAGTTTACTAAGGAAAAAAAATCAATCCTCCAAAGTCATTAACATACTGAATTCAAATATTAAAAATTATAACATACATATTAAAACATACATATTTTTTGAGGGAAAAACAAATTATAATGTGATAATAAACAGACATTTAAAAAAATAAATATTCCTTAAATTACTGAAATATAAGTATTGAATTGCCAATTGCTAGGCAACAAAAATAGATTTTTAAATGCAATTACAAAACTTATTTATTTATAATGAAACAATTAATAAAAAACACAATTGATTATTAATAAAATTTTTTTATAACTTTTATAAGGAATGAAATGGTAAAAAAAATACAAACATAAACCTGAAATTAAAAGTATTCACACAAAATTGAATTAATTATGAATCTGGATATTAATTTGAATAAATTTCTAAAAAAAGATAAAACTAAAAAAGGTCAACAGCGAATACAGGTTAAGAGTAGCTAAAAATGCTTAGGTTTTTTATTCGTAATAATAATAGAAGAAAAAAAAATACTAATTAATCCATTTTAAAAGTTACTAATTTTTAATATAAAACTTCATAGGCTATTTGATATCTCTATTTTGAATGCAAACTCTTAGATTAGATGCCCCTGAAAAGAAAAGAGTGCAATTATGCAATATCTGGGGGAGATAAAAACAACTTATTTAAAAGGAAAAAAACATTGGAACCATATTTAGTCATAAAATTGTATTATTTCCCACAAAAAATCTTGAAGATTTAAGACGTCATTATTAAACCTGTTTCAACTATTTTTTTGTAAAACAAGTAAATGAAACAAAGCATTTATTTGCTAATATAATTAAAATTGAAATAATACTAATATTAAAGATTTAAAAGTTAAGTGTACTTTGTTGTAAAAAGCATCCTTTAATTGTTGCCTCCTTTGGTTTTTCCTCTGCATGACACTGCATACTAATTAAGCCAAATGTTAAGTTTGCAGCTAGATTATTATAATACTACAGTTAAAAAATTATATTCACACCACAGTGAACTATTACAAAAATTATTATCACAATGAGAATATCCTAATATATTATTATTAGGGATGTTTTTTTAGCGAACATCATTCCCATAAAAAAATGTTAAAAAACTGTTTCAATTGCATGAAAAAACAAATAACTAATAAAAAGAAAAGATTGAGATAATTATTATCTCAAATGAATAAAAGTCGTCGCGGGTGTAACATTGAAATCAAAAAGTATTTACAGTATTCTCTCGATATCTCGAAAATCTTGCTACGTCAATACATATTTTCTTCCTTTGAATAATATATCCACCTCATGTTAATTCGAATTCCGATATCAAAGAGTTTCTTCTAATATATTTTTCTACACTTTTTAGAACATATTTAGTTCTGAGCTTGTTATCTCGAAAACTCGCTACCTGGAAAATTTTTTAGCGCCCCTTCAACTTCGAGATGTCGGAAGAATACTGTATAATAAATCTGATAAATTTGCTTCAAAATAAAGTCAAACCATTGAAATATATATTCGATGCAATATCACAGAGATATGCAAAGGGGAGAAAAACAATATTAAGTGAAACTAATAAATATTTAAAAAAAAAAATAATAAAAGAATACAAATTGTACCAGTTGGCAGTATGACTACAAATTAAAAGTTTAAGAAGTAATTCTTTTAATAATAGCAATAATAAAAAAATTTCCAAAAAATAGGAAATGTGGAATATTTGCTTGATATTAAAAATAAATTAAAAACAAATCATAACTAAGTACAAAACTAGAATAAAATTTAAAAAAAAAAATTGAAAGAGAAATGATTTTCAATGCTGTAAAACAACGTGTTTGTTATTCATTTATATGCATATAAAACATATTGCCCAAACCATTTAGAATCACGTTGGCAATAAAAATAACAATGGAATCAACAAAAATAGGTGCTTGTCATTTAACCATTGAATGCATTTTTTCATAAGAAGCAACAATTGACAAAGATTTTGCTTAAATAACGCCAAACTCATCAGACACTTAATTTAAAGAGCTAAGTGAATGAATGACATTTTAACTTTTCAGATATATTTAATTTCACAACACTGAATATTTTATCAAATCTTTAAATTTCACAGATACACTATAGAAGCGACTATCGTTCAGTATTTTTGAAGTGAAAAAGGTTTTAAGAGCACTGGACAACAAGCAGTTGAAACGTACTTCTTTTTTAACCGCTTCTCTGAGTTTACTCGAGTTTGTATAGATTGCAAATATTTATTATCCCGAGATAACTCGGGCGTAGCAGAATTTGTAAGTACGTTTCGTTTTATCACGTTTTTACTCAGTCAGAAACAAACAAACAAACAAAAAAAAATAATAATCATCTGCTGTGATTGGAAGTTTGCCAAGTTTTGGTGTTGGATTGCACACGTGTTTTGTGCTATTTTATATAAGATGGTTGCTGAATTTACATTGGAAAAAAAAAAGGGTAAAATAATGTCGTATCCCTTCACTGGTGTTTGGAAAGAAATACTCAAACTGATGGTAAATTAAATATTTTTTTACACACAAGAAAAATTAAAATTTCAACTTAAAACTTGCGTATTAGGTTTCGTTTTAGTTCCTTGTATTTATTAATGAAATTAAAAAAAAAAATCGTTGATTTTTTTTCAAAACAATTTGTAAGGAAAGCGCTTAATAGCAAATAAAATACCAAGAATACGAATGCTAAGAATTTAAATTAGTGTAGATTCCACAAACAGAAAGGACAAGTTAAAAAAAAAAAAATCCTCATCATCATTTCCAATTGTCAAACTTTATAGGTAATTTATTCAAATGTACCCTCATTCACTCATCCCTTGAACTGTACTGAGAGAAGTCAGCCAAAGTTACTTCACATAACAAAAGCATTCAAAGGAATCACCACGCAGAAAGGGGCCATAGTTACTTCACCAAATGCACAAAAGTAGTTATACAGTAATATAAAATAATATCACATTTTCTTTTAGATTGCAAAAAAATCAGATATCTTCATATAAGTGACACCCTATTCAAAGCAAAGTGTCCACAAGCCATTTTTTTTAATATTTAAATTCAAAAACAAGCTCACTATATACAATACAAGTCGTCAACAAATAATGAACATTTAAAGAGTCTCGTCGATTAACCTCACAGCTAAATTTTTGGTAAATATTTACAATCAGCAGGTGCACATCTCTGGTAAAATTCTTTTTATATTTAAATATATAACTAGCAAAAACCACTAGTGTGTGCAGAAAGAGATCAAAAGAATGGTCTCTAAGTATTCTAAAAATAAACTATATGCTGTAATATGGGGGAATAGGATGCAGCTTTAACGGGGTGTGTCTCGGCTTCGTAATTGGTCTGTGCTAGCTGTTTTCGATCGCATGCTCATCAAATTACTTTTCACCTAAAAGAATACACACATTATATTAGTTAGAGTAAATAAATAAACTTTAAAAATTGGTATTCAAAACATAACATGACATTAGAATTTTTCAAGTGAGTATTTTAGGGTGTACTAAATTCAACCCTAAAGTTGAAAGCTAAATATTGAAGTACTAGTCCTTCAGACTGAACATTATGAAACAAAAGGAACAGCTTTAACATTAACCGGTCAGATGACTGCTCGAGAATTTTTGTATCGAAAATGCGCTTGTCGTCTTATCGATTTTGCACATTTGAATTCATGACTTTTTCTAAAAATTATATGCAGTTAATATTCTATTATTATTGGTGTTTTGTTTGTTTCAAATAATTCCTGTCGTATTCCTATTTCGATTACAACCGGTCATTTGACCGGGAGAACAATTTATTGCTTTATAATGTTACTGGACCTGAAATGACGATGTAATGAACGTTCAACGTATTGCAATGAATTAGTTGCACATATCTGCAAAGACTGTTGCGTAGTTAGTTCAATCAGAATGACTGTGAATTCTAATTTCAAGAAAGTACATAAAATTTTAGATGGGCATAAGAAAAAGTGACAATTATAATTATAAAGAATAATAGAAATAATAATAATTAGAAAAAATATGTTTGCGGAAAATGTACAACGGAAACACCCTGTATATGTAAAAAAATATGTTGAGTAATGACTTAAAAATTCTTATTCTTTGTGTTTGTAACACATAAAAATAACCAATATACAATTTTGTTTGATTATAATGAAGATTTTTCAAAATTTCCTTCCTAACATTCATATTTCATACATTCTATAAAGAAACATCAAGTTCGGTCATTTGACCGGCTATGGCAGAAATAGGTATATATTAAGTGATATGTTTAGAGTTAATGAACAACGAAAAAAAAAATAAATAAATTAATAGCTACAGAAATTTATTGTAAAAATAACATCCATGAATAACATTTAAGTTGGTATTAGAGCTACTGACTACTAGTTGAAGATATTAGCAACTGCAGTAACATTCAGAAATTGATTTATTATCCGACTTTATGACAAAAGTAAGATGCATTAAATGATACAATTTCCAAAAATATTTTGTCCACAGCATTTTACTTTTTGGGGTGAAGAGCTATTTAATTTATCGACATTGACAAACTATTGAAGAATTAGATGCTAATTATTGTTTTCCAGAACTGCTACCAGATCAAAATGGTAAGTAATATCTTATTTTCTTAAAAAATAAAAACTTATCTTAAAAGGAAAAAAAAAATTACATGTTTACATACTCTAGTGGCTTTCTGCACTACTTTTAAGACTAATATAATAAATTTACTTTCCTCAACAACTTGCATTTAAGTTGAATGATTAATTAAACACTGATAATAAACAGTAGAATTATTATGATAGCAAGATAAAGAAGATGTGTGTTAACACAATAAAACTAATAAAGATGACTCCCCTCCCCCAACATTTTGCAGACTATCCATGGATAGTTATTCATAATTGTTGTGGTATAGATAATTCTTTGATAATAAAGAGTTAACCACATCAGAAAAATAAAAAGCCGCAAATAAAAAATTACATAAATGTAAAGAACAATATTTTTTGCAGTCATAATTTGAATAAGTGGTAGTGGAATTGTACTATACAAACCTCAAATAATAACAGATTTTTCTGTTGTGCCAAAAAAATTACATTTCCCTATTTAACAATATAAAATAGCAACTATAAAATGAGGCACATCAAAATTTAAGGAATGTTTCATTTTTAACTAGCCTTGAGTCCTTGGCAAAATTGTACTGTAATTTTCCAGCTGTACACTAATTTCCCATTGTAGGGTTTCCAAAACGGTTAATAATATTACCATAAAATGAAAAATTAGCTCTTGTTATTTAATCGTCAAATTTTTACAAAAAAGAAACGAGTTAAACACAAAATATCTAAAAAAATACATAGCTTTTAAGAAAATTTGCCATGAAATGTTTTTTACTTTTTTAGATAATTTTATGTTTAACAAAAATACTATTTTTCATAAATAAAAGCTGATATACTTTATCTTATTTTGTGAAATTTTGATACTTATTACATATTTAAGGATAATTGAATAGAAATCAAAATTATTAACCACATTAAGAAATAATTTTTTTATTTAAAAAACAATATTGCTAATATAGATTTAGAATCTTTACACAAATTTCGATTATCTTTGAGTAATAATAATAAAAAATAAAAAAATGCAAATGTGCAGTTTAGGGAAAATTAGATATTTTTCTTTTTAATTGTTTGTACGAACATAAAATTTTTGCTAAAAATTTGTTTCAAATTATGGGTAGAACAGATACAAAATGTATCCTTTTTGCTCTAAATAAAGGGTATACATGTATCGCGATATTATTTTTTTAAACGCGGGAATATGTGCCCTGATTGATTTTAAAATTATGAGAAAATGAATAGTGATTTTTAATTTTACGGTCATGTAAATACTAATTGCAATATTTGATTTTTAAAAAAATTACATGGAAACAAATCAAGATGTTACATTTTAAAATTGCATGAATAGGAATACAGATGGGGCATTTGAATCACAATCATAATGAATCATGTTGCATTATCTGTATATAAAATTTGGTAGCATCAGCATTTTACTTTGTATTATGATCGTCAATATCAATGATATAAGAAATATATATTTTAAAGCAATTGAGATAATCTAAATAAAATATTCAAAAGGCCTTAAAATTATATTAAAAAAGAAAACATTAAACCTTTCTTTCCCCATATTCATAAGGTTTCCTGAATAAAAAGCTTTAAAAAGTAAAAAAAGAAGATATTTTTTTTTTGAATTAGAAATAAATAAAAAGTGCCATAAAATCTATTGCTCATTATATCATATATCACAATATATGAGGAAATGTATCGCCTAAATCTGCTTTTTAAAACAGTTATTTGTGGGTGCTTTTTGCTCAAAAAAGTCGCCCAAGGTAAAAAAAAAAAAGGTCTGTTTTTAGTCGTCAGTGGACGCTCTACACTGAATAACATGGAGAAATTTTTGATAATGATAAACCTTTTCGTAATCCCTCAATTGTTATTGAGAAGAAAAAAAATTTCAGATCCAAAACTGAAACAAAAACAATTACTGAACAAGAAAGTTATTAAATATTTTAAACATTTAAAAACCAAGTGCAGTGCGGCACATTATGAGCATAGAACCAAATCACATAATCTACAAATCAGAGGTGCGATTTACATTCACACACATTCACAAACTTATACAGGGATATAATACCTGTTCTTCTGAATTAAGCGTTGACATTGAGCTGGCTCGTTTCATTCTGCGAGAATAAAAGAATACAATTAAACCACAATAAATGCACAAGAAACTGACAAGTGATGATCAAGGAAACTGGAAAGGATCAAATTATATCAACTGAATACAACATATGGGGAAAAAAAGGAACCACAAAAACTCAAAATATAAAAAGCAAAAAATCAAACTCAAGAATTTCTTCTGCGTACAATTTGGAAATTTCTAGCCATACTATACTTCAGAAAACTCAAAATCTTTAAACTACCCACAGATTTTGAGAAATTTTTTTTAATATAAAACAGAGAAGAATGTGTTGCTATAGTAAAATAATAAAAGCTATTGTAACTTACAAAAAATGAGAGGAAAATACTTTAAATTAGAGATATACCAGGTATTAGGCAATTACTTGTTGACCAGCCAGGTTTTTATTACCCGGCAAATGATTTTCACTACCTGGACCCTTGTATTTAGTCTTAACCGCTTCCCTGATTATCCCGAGTATGTATAGATTGCAACTATTTACTATCCCGTGTAAACTCGGGCACAGCAGAATTCGTCAATACCAGGGCTCGAAAAAACTCAGAAATTTTGCCCGTCCCCGAGGACGGCTTGTCCAACAATGTACCCGTCCTCCTTTGAAACTAACCCGTCGCTTCTAAATAAATAAAAATATAATTTTCTCTTATTTATTACTAACATTTATATAAATTGCACAATGAATAAGTAGTTATTAGGATTACAAATACTAGGATAGCATTATACAAAAATAAATACTAGGTTACTAATAGTAAAACCTAGTATTTCTTTAATGAAATAATTTAAATAACAAAGGTCAAGTTATCTGTCAATTATCATGTCAATTTATCCGATGGTACTGCGGTTTTTAAATGAATCAAATACGACGTTTTCCAGTTCCACAATCAAGCCAATGATTTACAGAGGTTTCTGCACAGAAATCTGAAAGAGGTTTTCCATTTAGGTAGATGTTCATAATTGCGGTTGACGCTTGTTGCTTAAGACCAGCACGTAGTGTTTTTTTTTTTAATGTTCATTGCTGAAGAGCCCCTTTCAACCGCTGCAGTACTCCCAGACAGCGAAAACATCAATTCCACCATGCGCAGTATGTTGCTCTATTTCGAGATTAGAGGGTCATTTTAAAAGTGAGGAGCTAGACTCTTGTAAGATAACAAAAATTGAAAATATATCACGAACATTAACGGGAAAATGGCCGTCCGCGCGGACGTTGGATTCGAGAAATTTGTTGTCCGTGGGGTAGTTTTGACCGCCGAGGATGGGCGGTTTTTCGAGCCCTGGTCAATACGTTTTTGTTTTATCACGTTTTTACTCGGCCGGAAGCAAAGCAAAAAATAATGATAATTGGCTGTGATTGGAATTGCCAATTTTTATTTGGGAGTTCTGCTGTTTGTGGGACTGTATATGTGTTTTGTGCAATTGTATATACGATGGTTGATGAATTTACGTAGAAAAGAGTAAAAAAAATTGCGTTCGCTAGCGAAAGTAATGCAGGTGATTTTTCATATTATGAAAATGTGAACCTATACAAAGACTACTATTTAACTTTTTTCATTTGCCCGAGATAATTTGGGATAGTAAACTGATGGTAAATTAAATTATGTTTTGTTTTAGTTCCTTGGTATTTATTAATGAAATTAAAAAATATGTTGATTCTTTTCTTAAAAAGAAAAAAAAAAATGGTAAGGGAAGCAGTTAAGACGCAGTAACTGTCCAATTTTACCTGGTATCCATACTTGGGTAGCATTTATCCATTTATGTTCAACACTACTATATTTAAATTTATAGTAATTTAAAACTATTCATAAAAATAATAATTAGTAAACCACATATTCTATCAGTTTCTAACTAATCAAGCTAAGATAACCGATACCGGCACGGAATTTTCTTTTTCTCGTGCAGAATTCTATTTCAGGAAAACCTTGACAAAGTTAACACCTCTGTGAGAGAGAAATATGTTCGCTAAAGAGAAGTAAAATTAAAATCTAAAGCTCAAAACTATTTTGAACTAAATAAGTATGAAAGTTAAATAAATAAATAACAAAATAGAAAATTGTATTGATATTTATTTAAGTTAATGAAAGCATAATGATTAAAATTCAGTTGTAAAAGGTACATTAATATTTTCTTTCTCATGACACATTAATTATTCAAATGCTATTAATAATTTAAACATCACTGAAGAACTAATGTCCTAGTAAATAAAATCATATGCTGAAACTGAGACAGTTGATTTAACAAAAATTCAATAATATTTTTTTTTTTTTAAGGATAGTTTTTATTAATTTTTTATTTTTTTTTACTTTTACACAATCCAAAACATTTTATTATATTTTCATCAAGGTAGTTTATGTTTATATCAAAAAGAAACATGCCTGAATAAAATTGACAGTCGGTAACTTTTAATTAAATTTTTACTAAAAAGCGTGTTCCCTACTCATTAGCATTTATAGTAATTAAATAATTAAAAATTAAACCATGAGAGTTCATCAATCATGATTAATATTTTTATTCAATATATTCCATTGCTTTATTAAAATCATCAAGTATTTAACAGAGGCTACATTAAAAAATGCTAATGAAAATTAGTTATAAAGTATAGTCTATAAGTAGAAGGCTTCACTTCATTGCAAAGTTTTTAAAATTTTTTTTAATACTTCGTTCGTTATTAAAAAATTTGTAAGGTATCAAAATTGCGTTTTGAGTGTTCAATTTAATGAAACTTCTAGTTTCGCTGTATAAAAACTATTAAACTAAGAAATTTGAAATGACTATGTGAAGAAAAGTGAACAGGGATTACCAGGGAATAAAAAAAAAATAAACAATCGACTAAACTCTCTAGCACCAATATCTTTCTCCAAGATACTTTCAAAAATAACAAACATATATGTTACTTATTTAAAATAATAATAAGAAAAGCGCTAAGGTTTACAAAAAAAACTTTATAATTTTTTTTTAAAATTAAACATGTAACAATATTTTATTCTAATATTATGGGTGATATTCTTGCATTTTGTTGGGGGGAGGGAACGTACAAATTATTTCTTTCTTTTCATTTAATAAATATTCCTCCCAGTAAAAAAAAAAAAACAAACATAAAAACAGCGAAATCCATAGAAGAATTTGGGGAAAAAAAGATCGCCGATGAAATCATGCTAATCTGACTTCTTAAATACGTGTTTCGTTTCGAGATTAGGTTGTTGTAATAAACAATATTGCATAAAAAATATCAGATTTAAAAACTATGGAGAAATCAATAGCAATAACTGCATAAAATTCGATGGAATCATTTCTGCCTTGTATATACTCAAATGCACAATTCGAATTTTCCATATTGTTTGAAATATATCGGGATATTTAATGTGTAAATCAATATCTGCCGAAAATACAATCGGACTATTATATCAATTCACGATACTATCACTGTAAATTGAGTGTGTCAAAAAGTGATTACCTAAAGGCATGATTCAAATATTAAGCGTAAACTTCTGAAGAAAAGTAATTATTTTCACTTTTCAAAAGAAAAATCTTTCTGCAAGAACTTAGTAATGTTCTGCAACAATGTCGCTGTGACTCTGCCACAGGGATCTTAGGCATTTTAAAGAAATTTAACATGTTGCAGCAACAGAGAAATTTTAACAAGGTGGGTCACTCAGCCAGTCAGAAATAAACTGCACTTAAAAGTATCAAAAAAAATTCAGAAACTACTCATAAATCATGCTAATTATTATAGTTTTAAATAACAAAAATTGATAGTAATAAATAAATATAAAATATTTCTTGGGCAGATTGACTCAGTCACTTTTGTAGTTATGCTTATATGTATAGTAATCAGGTGCTTTTGATTTGAAATATTCTTGGAATCACATCATTATTAAAATACATTTGCAATATTTACTATAAAATAATTTTTTCAGTCCTCCTTCATAAGGATTAAAAATATACAATTTATGGTGGGCATTAACGTTGGTTATTATTAGTTATTTTCATACTCATTTATATTACTTTGTTATTATACAGTATTGCCAACATTTGAACAATAGTAAGAGAAGCATTTTGTCCATTTGAAAAAGCACTTTTTAAATATTAGTGAGATTAATTTATTAATAAAAATTACATGTTGTCCATACATTTATTTAATACTACTAACAGAAAACTTATGCAACTGAAGAACATTTGAACAGAACTGAAAAAATGTTAGAAAACCAGGGTTATTACAATATTAAATAAAGGTTTTAAACAGTAGATTAACACAAAAATTTTCTTCTTCAAATGTTTTGTTTTCAATCTTAATATTTGTTTCATTGACTTATTCTTTTCTTTTTGGAGAGAGATATGTGAGCAAATTGTCATCAATACAAGAGTTCCGTAGCAGATTCGCAGTGACATTTTCGCAGAACGTTACAGAAAGATTTTTCCTTCGAAAAGTTTAAAAAAAAAAAATTATTTAAAATTACTGAAATTTAAACATAATGTTTGAATCTTGCATTTAGATAACTCTTTGACGAGCTCAATTTATGCAGATAGTATCATAAACTGAGGCATTGTTTCGATTGTATATTATTGATTTTCATGCGGATTTTAAATCCAATATTTTTTATTACCACAACCTAATCTTCAAACGAAACACGAATTTGAGAAATCCGTTTCGTACGATTTTGTCGCAAATTTTTTTCCCCCCCGGCAATTACTATTACAGATTTCAGAATTTTTAATTATTTCTTTTAGTGTGATGATTATTTACAAAATGCTAAGAAGGAAATTCTTCTCTCCCCCCAACAAAATGTGAGAATATCATCCATAATTTTAGAATAAAAAATTATTACAAGTTCAATTTAAAAAAAAAAAATAAAGTATTTTTTTTTTGTTAACACAGCCCTTTTGATATTTTAAATTAGAGACATATATGTTCACTATTATCAAAAGTTATGTGCAGAATGATAATAGTGCTAGAGAGTTTCGGAGCAGATATCTCGAAAAAATTCTGCCAAAAGGTGCAAGAGAAGGGCGATCACAGAGATGCCAACTATCCGGACAGCAAATATATATTTTGGAATGGTAATTTATTAACGTGTAGTTCTTGGTTTAATAAATTCAATTTATTAGGTTTTTATTCACCACTATTTCCAAATAATTCGAAAATATATATATTTCATCACCTTGTTTCAGTTAAGGCATGCTACACTGTATAAAAAGTAAGCAAAAGTAGGCAAATGTTTGCAAATTTTAGTTTGTAGTTATTTACCGCTTATTAAAATTGTTATGGTGCGTCCGGAGTAGTTGGCATCTCTGGCCATCATATTAATTATGTCTTTAAGTTGTCTGTACTTTCATTCTTGAGTGTCTAGTACTTTTCGCCATTGAACTACTATAATTTATTTCCGGAGCAGGGATGCACAACCAATGGCCCACCGGAGCTTTTGAACGCAATAAAAATTATTTTAATTTTATTTTTGTTTAAATGTTATACATTTTCTTTAATTTAAATATTTAATTCCAATTTATATTACTCTATAAAATGTATATATTTGTTACACTTTCATTATGTAAACTTCTTTCTGGTTAGAAATCATATCCCCCCACTCAATATTCTTGTATGTATATATATAATTATTGTGAAAAATTTTAGAATACTAACATTTAGATAAAAATGATCATGTTTGCTGTTAACATGACTAAATATGCGTGTGGTCCTTCGTTAATCTATCTTCTCTGCAAGTGGCCCGTCACCCAAAAAGGTTGTGCACACCTTTTACAGAGTGTTTAAAAAAAAAATAAACCCTTTTTTTTGAAAAAAAAAAGTCAGGTACGGGAAAAAAAGAAATGCAATGAAAAGAGTATAGCAACACATCCTTTTCTGTGTGAGAATACCAACAAATGCCTACCTGGCAGCAAAACTGTCCACGTTTCCAAAAGCCGAAGGATCACCTTTCAATTTATGTAGGAGCTTGGCACTACTGAGACGAATCGAGGCCCTCAATTTGCTAAAGCTGCTGCTTCGTTTGAGTTTTCCATTAGTCTAGGGGGTTCAAGTGTAGGTGACACAAGTAAGGATATTTTGATAATAAAATAAAATAAAAATGGTGGCTGGAGAGGCTAAGCAATATTGCGCAAATGTTTGAGCCATGCACACAGTACTAACTGATATGTAACATTAAGTTTTATTGTGTTTAAACAAAATGATATAAGTTATGAGAAAAAACAACAACTTAGAAATAAGCTACGGACGGTAACTTTTTTTTTTAAATAAGGCAGTTTGTATAAAATTTAGCTGAAAAAATAAACTAGAGGCACTTTTTTTTCTTTCTAATTTTGCATTAAGTATGAAGGAAAGCATTTCAAGTAGAAATATACTTTATGGAAATTTATTTTAGACACAGCATAAAACAAAAATAAAGTTAACATTTCAGAGCAGAGTTCCTTTAGGATAAAGACAGAATATCCAGTAAGCTACAAAAGAAAGAAAAACACTACTTCAGAGCAAAATTGCGTTTTAACTGTACTCAACAATACATAAACTCATTAAAATAGTTTTAAAAAAAACTATTTAAAAGGACAAACTAAAACAATCTATTTATTTTTGAAAAATTGTCTGACTAGAAAGAGACATAATTTTAAAAAATTTAAAGTCCCATGAAAATACGTCTATTTTCTGTCAATAAGATTTAACTTTGTGTGGATTGTGTACAAAATAAATGATTAAATGCATATTATTTAACTCACAAAAAGAGATTGATTAAAGATGCTTCATTAAAAAAAAAAAAATGTTTTTCAACTTCTTCAAAGAGTTTGACAGTTATGAGAAGCTAAATTAGATTATTAGTTATAAATTTTTTGAAATACTCAAGTTGTTAAGTTACTATAATTGGAACAATTAGGTTTAAATAATTCTGAACATCAATAGTCTTTCATTTTATTTATTTTAGTAGGCAGAATTAAACATCCAAACTATAACTTCAAAAATCAAAACAAGTTTGAGGTTAACATTAAAAGCAAACAAAAATATTAAAATAATATTAACAAANTTGACTAAAATTTAATATTGATAACGATTTTAGGCAATCCACTCAGAAAAACTTAGTGAGCTGCAGGGGTAAACAGCAATTGATATTCAAATTTTTAAACAGAACAAAACACATATTACTCCCTATCAGAAATTTTTATAAGCAGATTGGGATTTATTATTTCGAAAAAAAAAAGGCTCGCTAATAAAAGCTCCTCTTATTAACATAAACTAACGGAAATGTAAGAAGTTAAATTACATTTAACATGAGGTACATAATTTGTCAGAAGTGATAAATCAAAGGTCAGGCTAAAAATGAGTGGTTTTTCCTGAAATAGTGTTTTATATAGGTATCACTTTTTCTACTAAACCTTGTTAAAATATATTTTTTCAAATTTAAACTTCAAATTATTCTGGAAGTTGAATTCATTCGTTAAAATTATTTTCCTCTAGCTCATTCTGGACATAAAAATGTGCACACGGGAGACCTATTTCTACCATAAAGTCTCCTTTGAGACATAAAATGTGCAATTTTATATATAAATATCATATTATGGCATAATATCAATTACAATCTTATTGGAGCATATTAATTTCAATTGTAACAGGGTTTGCATTACATTGATATGTGCTAGTGTCCCGACAAGCTACTTTTTAGTGCAGATAGTGGCAGAAATTAACGTTAATATAAATTAAATAAGGCAGCTAAAACTGTCTCTAATTGTTTATAATCCTAACAGTTCTGATAAGTATTTGCATTTAGATGCCCTCTTGCGTGTAATAGGTAATTTCAAAATAACAGGAGTGAATTTCAGAAAGTATATTTAATCGTAGCAGAGTTTGAAATAATTAAATGAGCATCAGTGTCTCAACCGAGTGTTGATTAGTTTTCAAATATCTTCAGTTAAATAACATCTTTGATATTGGAAATTTCAAAGTGGCACATTTACATATATCTAACAGCTATATACTATGTTTAGTAAACTGAACAACAGAATTAATATTGTAAGACTACTTCGTCATTTAAGTATTCCCATTGAGAACAGAAAAGCAAGTTTTTTTTTTAGCAAAAAGTTTTTTTTAAGGAAACAGCAAATTTTGCGGTGCTGATATGTTGCTTTATTATTCTGGCACTATTAAATTTGTAGCAAAATTTTAACTTGGTTTTGTTAAAAAAAAAAAAAAGAAGAAAGATGAGGTTGTCAAAGTGGGATTACATTAGGCTGATGTCGTATTGTGTGATTTAGTGTTACCATTTAACCAGAGCTTTTTTTTGTTGTGGGATTTCAAGTGAAAAAAAAAAAATTCTTAAATGTTGACTTCTCTATACAGTTTGAATAGCAACTTGTTTATAGATTTCGTATTAGAGTAGCGCCTAAACTGAATGAAAATATCCAAGATATGTACTTTATCTAATCAACACGAATTCTGTTCTGAAATTTCTGATTAAAAATTAACACACTAATGTTAAGTAACGCTTATTTATTGATGTGAGTATATTTTAAAGTATTTGCAACTAAAGATTATTTTATTAATCTTCTTGGAGGAGGGAAGTGGAGGAATCTCGATGCAATTTATAAAATTTCACCGTTTGTTTCGAAGTATTACGTGGCTTGCACGCAATGATACGAATTTGCATAACATAGCCCTTTCCTAAATACTGAATTAAAAATAAATATAATTTTTGTAACTTTAAGAGTGTTTTTCTTTCATTTATTATTTATACAATTGGAACTATTTCTTTTCAAAAATTCTGACCAAATTCAAAGCAATTTAGAAATTAAAAAAAGAATTGTTAAGGTAAAAATTAGTAAGCATAAAATATAAAACATTAATATTATTGCACAAGAAACAAAGATAGAAAAGGTTACGCAAAAACAATAAAGGAGGAGCAAAGACAGTAAAAGAAACCAGAGATAAAAGGAAGACACATGCAATTATAAGACAAAATAAAGCATTTTCTACACCAATATTTAAACTTAGAAATGAATTTGTGCATGGCTCTGAGGCTTAAGATCTTGACTCCTTAAAAACAGGTGTGTTATTCGCGCCAACTAATATAAACAATAGTAAGAGAGAGAAAACATGCTTAAATAGCCAAAAGAAAAAACAGATAATGTGAATAATAAATATAGAAAAATAAATCTAATGCAAAGACAAGAAATAAAGGAAAGATATTAAAAAAAAATGTAATAAATTGCAAGGAACAGATTAAATTACATATTTTCAAAATTGCAACTCATTCTAGTTACAGCTAAAGCTAATGATTTGGACTTAAATATACTAATCATTATACGAAAATTAACCATTTGTTGGTTTGAAATAAGCCTGGTTTTAATAGCCATAATTGCAGCATTGGTGGCTGTTTAAGAGACAGTACAGGGCTGTCTATCAAGAGAAATGCATAAACATTAAATTTGACCACTGCAGGGGTGATTGTGGCTAAAAGTGAAAAAACCCTGAAAATTTTAAACGCAAAAAGTAGATATTAATTTATATATCATATATCTTTCATATTTTACATAATTTTTTGAATGAACATTTATAATCAAATAACGCTCTAACGCAAAATATATCACACCATTAGAGTAATTAATTCAAGAAGAAGCTTACTTCTAACAAGAACCGCGATATTAGATTTTAAGAAAATCGCTTGAATATCAATCACGCTCTTGGAGTTTAAAAAGGCAAATATACAACTTGCGATATTGAACTTTTGAATCGTTCAAATGCGAATCACTAGATCGTGTGAATACAAATTGTAATGCATAGTTTTTAAATCACATATAAATATTAAAAAATCGATGTTTGGTATTACAAACATGTGAATACAAATTGCAAAATTGGATTTTAAAAAGTGTGAATACGAATCGCAGTCTTCGATTTTAAACTCACGTGAGTAAGAATCGCAATATTCGGCTTTAAAAACGTGTAAATACAAATCATTATTGGATTAATCGATATTGGATTTTTAAATCAAGTGAATACGAATCACAACACAGTTTTTAAATCAGGTAAATACGAAAATCGATGTTTGATATTAAAATTGAGTGAATAAGATTCAAAACATCAGCAGATTCCGTCGCTGTACCATATATTCAAAATAGCCAAAATCAAATCAAAACATTGGCAAAAGAATCACGTAGGACGTAATTCTTAATGCAATCGGTGGAAGAATGTACGAAAATGCCTCGTTAACGGGATTTAGCAAAATCTTCAAAATTTCACTGGATTATAAGTTTTGATTCGCAGAACCAATGGTCTGAGTTATGTGGAATTCTATGATATTCATGCAAAACTCGCATGCACTGCTTCTAGTTTTTGAAACCCGAAATAATTATACGAAAAACCCGGAATTCCGGGGAACTCCAGAGTACAATCATCCCTGACACTGAAAAATTTAATATTGGTTATAAATCACTAATGTTTTACAACAGCATTATTCTTTTCTTTTACAAAAACAATTTCTGGTGACTATTGCTTAAATCAAGAGTGGAAACAGTGACTAAAATTTAACATTGATAATAGGCAATATATACTCATTGGGGGAAGATAAAGTGACAAAATAATATTAAAATAACATAATTTATTAACTAAAAATACTTGAGGAAATTTGCAACGAATGCCATTTTTCAATTAATTCAATGGTTCGTAAAACAAAGAAATAAAAACTGCACAACTTGTAGTAATGTCGTTTAAACAGACTATCAATCAATAAATATCTCCCAACAAAGCTTTGAACACTCTTCATTTTATTATTAGTTATTAGAACTAGTTGATACAATAACGAGTTATCTTGTTTCAAACTTGAAACATCTAACTTTGAATTACACATTGAGAAGGCAATTAAATTTTTATAGCATTATGATCAAGATTAAAATTTATTTAAATTTATAAACATATTATCTTACAATAATACTATATTTAAATAAACATTCTATATTTAAATAAACATACTATATTTAAATAAACATACTATATTTAGAATTAAGATTATAATATTTAGATTTGAATTA